TGTCAGAATCAATGACCAACCAGGCCAAGATGGGCCACCAACAAGCCAAACAACTGTTCCTGAAGACCCCAAAAATGTTCATGAAGCAGCCAACTAAACAGCAGAACTTGAGATGCCAAGTCTTTCCACACAGATAGCACCAAAAGAATGCCCAGAAGCACTTGCATGTGAGTAAGTATATAAGTCAGAAGCACTTGAAAAAGTTCTGTATTGACATCCTTACCCAATAAAGTTGTTATGAATCTTTGGTTCACCCATCTGATTCCTTACATATTTTGATGCTCTTCCATCTGCAATCACCAAAGCACCAGCACCCATCCTCAGGGATTGATATCCAAGTAACAGCTGACAAAACAAAGCCTTTGACTACCATTGCCCTCCTGACGTTCCATTTGGTCCTGTGCACTTCACTGAGTATCCCCACAACCCTGATCACAAACCCTGGACCTTGGAAGATTTGCAATGGTACAGCTGCCAAGATGCTCCCAAGAATCCATATCAAATTGTCTGTGACAGCAAAGCAATCACCATTTATCCTTTGATCTTCAACAGGAAATACAACAACCCTGCTGCCTACTTGATCCCAATGGAACTACCCCCAACACCCAAACTGACCATCTCAATCTCATCCACTTCCAATGCTGCTGGCCAGAGTAGACAATTCCTGGGAGTGCTATACTTGGCGCTCACAGGATTGATTGATTCTGTCTTCCCAGCAGTTGGACCCTGGGCTATGGCTGGGAAGGCACTTTCCTACCTAGTAAAGTTAGGCCCCATCATCTGGTAGGCCATGCCAGTACCTGCCTCTACTCCTTCCTCACCTGCAGGAGCATTGCGGTAATCCTGGTATCCTGACAACATGTCTGGTTGGTTTGGTATAACTGGGGATCTTCTGAGGTGTTCATGAGTTCTATCTAAAGGAGCAGCTTGTCAAAAGGACTACAGAATAGTGTCAAATTATATGTTTTATAAGAATATCTTCATTTTTTATAGATACTATCTCAACATCTATTCTCCTTTTTTGTGATAGAACATGTTACTGATAATAGTGATCCAGGAGTTGATCAAGAAAATCATAAGAGTGGTGCAAATAACCTTGATATCAGGGACATTGTGGTGCTGAAAATTATCATAAAAACAGCCCTTAGATGATGAAGATGCTTTGGTAGACCATACATTGTTGTAAAATGTGTCTTTTCCTAGCTATCAAATGTCAATGATGATTGGGGGGCATGAAAAGTCCTTTTTGGCGTGTTTATATAACTAACTTTTGTCCTTTCCATAGAACAAGTATCTCTGAGGATGACAACCCCAACCCAGCTAATCCCTGGCTTTTACCCAGGACACACCTTGATGAGCTCCTAGGAGCAGAGGCGCCACACTTATACTGACCTCACTAAAGCTATTGAAAAGAATTGGGTTATTTTCAAGTATGCCAAAATAAAATAAAGGTCAACTAGAAGCTCCAACCCTCTCTGGACATCTAAAAACATGTAATTTCATGTTTTGTGCACCAAAATTGGTTTATCATGTCACTATATTTTCACTTAACTCAGATAAAAAGATGTAAATTATCTCCTCTCTTAATCCCAACTAGGCTAGTTATCTCATATTTATGATTTAAAAGTACTATATGGGTCATTATTTTTCTTGTTATACCTAGGCGCCAGATTTATTCTTTTATAACTTAATCACCTTATTCATATTCAAATTATTCAGAAAGCTTAAAATACAATCAACAAATTCCAAAACTTTAATTGATCTTGGGCCTAGATGATTTTTTTAAAAAATAAATCATCAATTTTAGAATTGAAAATTGCAACTTATAGTATTACTGAAAATATCTTAAGTGCTACTACAAACTACAAACCAAAAATATTTATGATGAGTTGCATGGGAGAGTAATAGCAGCCCCAAAGCTATAAATGCTATTACCCTATCTTTGGCTCATCATAAATATTCTTAGTTTGTTTCAGAGAAAAATGTTGTTGTTTTTGAAAGACTGATAACTCTATTTAAAATACACCCTCTAGTAAGCTGCCCTACTTCATGAACTTGCCCTAGTGCACCACTAGCATCTTCTGATATTTTTGTTTCTCTGGTATCATCACGTGATTTTAAATGATAAGTTATCTCAGAATATTCTGAGAAACTTTCAAATGTTAAAGGTGAAAAAATACAACTTCCCATTTTTCATCAAATATGAAAGATTAATGTGCAGATTTTTAACTTTGAGCTCTTTCCTTATAGGCCTAACTTTTCTCTCATAAATATAAAAGAATGACTTTTGGGAAATATTTGAGCCTGATAGCACTGATTTATATAACTCTTTTCTTTTTTCTTCTTGCTCAAAAATATTTTTAATATCATTTATATTCTTAATATAAAAATGATTTTCTTTCTCTTTACATGTTTTTGATATTACAACAAAGTGACCATCAACAATGCTTTTTCCATGACATTCCACAAAACAATTATATTTTATGGAACCCTTAATATATTTAGGTGCCTCTTTAAATAAGTAATATAAAAATTCATATGATCTAAAATGATTTCCATTATCAGTCCATACTTTTATATTTTTTATTTTTTAAATCTATCTAATTTAAGAATTTTTATAAAACACTCACCTGAAAATAAAGAATTGTGTGATAATATTTGAGACAAAAAATCATGATATTCATATTTAATTTTATTGTTTTTCTTAAAAACTAATGCAAACCCTAATAATGAGATTGGTTTTTTTGAATAAAAACAATTATTGGTCTCAATTGGACCACCTCCAACCTTTAAGTTTTCTTTATAATCTATAACTACAACACAAGACTCATCATCTAATTCATTAATATCTTTTTTATATTCACAATTTTGATGAACATAAAAGTCTTGGTGCTGATTAATAGTCTTTAAATCATTGTCTATAGATTCTGGTAATGGCAAGTTTTTACTTTCACATTATTCCTTCTTTTTTTTAGTGAATTTTTTAAATTACAAATATTGCACATATCAGTTTGTTTTTTACTTTTTATTATATTTTTAGGGATTAATTTATAGTAAGTAGAAATTGAAACCAAAATTTCATTTTTTATTTTCATATTTTCATATATTTCTTTTTTTGTTTTAAGTAGAGAGTATTTAATTTCAGTTGAGTAATTACTCATCTCTTTTTCTATATCTTTATAAATTTTTTCAGGCACTTTTTTTGTAAACTGGCTTGTTTCAAAAGAATTTTCCAGCAATTTTTTAATTATTCTTTTAGTTATTTCTTTTTTTAATGAATAGTTATTATTTTTTTGGCTTTTTTTGTTTAAACTTACATTTTTATTTTTATTTATTTTTCTTGAGTATTCAAACTCACTTTTGGTTATATTAAAACCCATATCATTAAGCTCTTTTAAAGAGTAACTGGAAGTAACCAGAGATTGCAAGGCCTGGAGATATTTTTGGGGAGAAAATTTCATGAGATCCTTTAAGTTTTCAATGAACTCATTGTCTTTTTGAATTCAGATAGTTGGCAGGAACTGAGCTTTCCCAAATTCAGTTTGAGTAAGGAAGTGCTTGATGAAATTATCAAGATCATCACCAGCAATAAAGAGGAATGCTTTTTTAACATTGTAATTCTCTCTCTTTTTGTTGAAGCTCCCAAGGGAAAAAAGGGTAGCATGGCAGAAGTAAATTTAACTGAGGACATGGTAGTATTTTGAATCTGTAATTAGGTCAGATCTCTGAAATGTGCCTTAATATTGGAGTAGTTATGATCAGAATGTGGCCTTTGAATGGGGTCTTTTGGATTAGAAGCTTTGTGGTACTTTAGCTCTTATATACCAAGCTAAATGACATCATTCTGAAAGAAATGGTATGATAGCTTTTATTATAGTTTGAACTTGAATTTATGTTTGCAGAATTGATTAAATACCCAGTTTTCATGCACAAGTGATACATGTGAAGCAGCTAAGCATTATTATTACATCATATCCTCTTTATAATCAATGCAAATCAATTAAAATGATGTATTCAGTTAATTGTAACTCTTCTGCATATTTTTAAAATAATAAAATATTAAAGATTTCATTTAAAGAATGCTTAATTTGAGGTTTGAAGCTCACTTGAACCTTAAAATCAATCTAAACAGTGATAAAAACACCCTAACTTCAAACTATCATAAAATCCTAAATAATTGAGCTTTTTAAATAAAATAAAATGCAAAAATAAAGCTCTCAATCTTATCTTTAATTTAGTCAAATAAAAAAAGCTGTTGTATATTAAAAAAGAGTATTTATTAGCTTTGAAGTGATCTACTTTATATCATTAAGTATAATCATATAATAAAATCTGGATTATACCCTTTTTTTACTTTTTCTTTAATACTGGGCATATTATACACATTAAAATCTTTCCACCAATAGAAATATAAAATTCTTAGCTTCATTTTGATAGTTTACAGTGTGAAAAAATATTAATTTTTCATTGAGTTATTAATGTTTTAAATTTAAAATATGTAATTAGTTACTTTTTCAAAATTGAACTGTGTTATGCTGCGACTTGAGCAGCATGTGCATTAGAAAATGGCCTAATCCCTAAAATAATGACCCATATCTATTCTGTCATAAGCTACTTGTGAGGGACTAATACATGCTCAAGCCTTTAAAAATACCATATAATTTTCAACTTATCTATTTGATCAATTAAGCATGCTTTGACTTGAATTCTAAATATTTTGAATCAGCTCTTTTTGGCAGTTTTTTTATATAAATACTGCCTATTAACTTTCAGTAAAAAAGCTAGTTTAATTTTGTGATAATTTTGCACTTAACATTGTCTCCACACTTATTTACAATAAATTTTAGCTTGATTCTAAGGAAATTATAATCCAAATTAATAAAATTATTTTCTCATATCTTCTGCTTCTTGTTATCAATCATTGCAGTATTAAAGAATGTTTATAATTCATTTTAAATTTATTATCACTTTAGTATTGCTAATTATTATTGAAGATTAAAGCTTCCTTAGCGCAGCCGGCAGCGCGTTAGTCTCATAATCTGAAGGTCGCCAGTTCGAACCTGGCAGGGAGCATTTTTGTATTTTAAATTTTAATCAATTTTTATTTTATTATTTGCTAAGCAATATTTAGGTGATTTTCATATGTACATCTTTTATTATTTTATTTTTAAATTATCATTAATATCTTTTTAAATTCTGGTAGATTTTAAAAAATATTACTACGATACATTTTTTTAAATTGTAGAAAGCTATTGTACTGTTATAGTGTGAAATCAAGTTAAGGGATTATCTAATTTGGGTACAATTGAATGCTTTCTTATATATCTAAATAATGAAACAGATTATGGATTAACAACTTACCACTTAAAAGATTACCAACTTATTATATACATGGATATAATATGTCATTAGAATATATCATGACATAACAATAAGTCTTCCTTTGGAAAAGTTAAATAAACATGTATTTTGCCTAAAAATTATTACCTTGCTAGCTTCTCCTAGTATCTGGTAATACTCAAAAAGAAAAATATAATTCATCAACTCACAAAAAATACCAAGAAGAAGGAGCTGGTACTAACAGATCAATGATGCCTCTTACTCATGTTTGACAACATGTCAAATTATTTATTACCTTAATATATATTTGATACCACCCAGAAAAACTTGATAACTTCATCATTAATAAACAACAAAATACATACTATATGATGTGTTTGGATCTTAAGAATGGTGTCAAGAGAACACAACAGGGAAGCCTTTATTATAAAATATTTGATATTTGAAACTAGCCTTGAGGAAAAATTAAGGGGACATACCTTAGTTCCCTGAAAAAAATGAGGAATTCCTTTTGGCAAAAAGGAAAGTAAAAAGCTTGAAGAATATTAGAGCCAATGCAAATGTGGATAAACTTGTCTTTATTAAGAGAAATGATTCTACTTAAATAGTAGACAAGGGTCAATGATCACTCATTAGGTAGACAGAGTGGTTGAGGGGGTAGCATTGGGATGAGGTCATACTAGGATCAGACAAGGGCAGATATGGTATTCCAGAATGGGTGGATATTAGAACAGACCCATTTACGGAGGGCAAGGAATTCCCAAAATTGAAAGCAAAACCAGCCAAATCTTTGCACATATCACTATTAAAAGGCCATATTTAAATATCATTAATGGCACAATTTACAACATTTCCCCCCTCAAGATAGGACACAGGGAGTTGATATTTACGGAGAAATTTGTCATGGACTCAGGCAAAAGGACAATCAGACAACAGTAGTTTCACGGTATACTTGACACCTTTCTTGAAGGTGACTTCACAAGGGCTAACCCAGGGAGAGTCTAGTTTGTGGGCTCTGCCTCCAGTACAATTCTGATAATAGAGAACCAGGACACTACTTGAAATTCTGGAAGGAGACTCAAGACACATTGAAAGAAGATAGTTCTAAGGCCTTGACTTTGTAGGCAGTTGAATATGCTGTGGCTTGGATGTCAATGATTCAATTGCTCAAGTCCTTGATGTGAGCTTCTGGATTGGTAGAATCATCAACTTTCATCAGCAAGGGTCCCAAGGTTGAGAGGGTGGTAGCTTCTCTTCCATACAACATGGCAAAGGGAAATTGCCCAGTCACCTGGTGTCTACTAAGGCAATAGGCAAAGAGGGAAGCAGGGAGGAACATATCCCAATTTGCGGCATCAAAGAGGGTGAGTTTCCTCATAATGGACACAAGGGAATAATTGGCTTGTTCAACAGTTCCATTTGTTGAAGGGTTATACAGGGCAGAGAAGGATTGATGGATGCCCATAGCTTCTACAATAGACATGATGAGGCGAGCATTGAAGTTGGTGCCATTATCAGACAGCAAGACTTGAGGGCACCCATGTCAATAGAAGATGTCTTGCAACAAGAAATTTGCAGTAGTCTTGGAAGTGATGTATTTGGTAACTCTGGCTTCAACCCATTTTATAAAATGGTCTACAGCTACTAAGATGAACCAGCATCCAGACCTAGAACACAGGAGAGGCCCAACAGCATCAATACTAACAGTGTTGAAGGCAAGATTAGGCAGGATGAGCTTGAACTGATGTTGTGATGGTCAAGGTTGTTGGAGATGGCAAGAATGACAGGAGGCAAGGACATCAGGAATTAGGAGGCACATGTTTTCCCAGTAGAAATTCTTGCACAGCCAGTCATGAGTTTTTGCTATACCTCCATGTCCAGTATCACTGTGGGCTTGGAGGATAGTGGATATTCTCATGCTAGGGCAAATGTAGGGAAGATAGGCATTGATGACCTTCTTGAAGAGTTGTCTATCCCAAGTCACTTATCCTTTGATAAGGCCTGTAGAGCCAGCTGGATCTCTTCTGGTTCAGTTGTTCAAGAATCAGGGTACCCTATTAACTTGTATAATCAGTTGGCGTCAGCAGGATAGATGGCCAGTATAGGCATTATAGACAATCCATTGGCATTTTGATGTTGAACACCTGGAAAATGTACCACAGTGAACTCATATCCTTGAAAGTGCAGAGCCCAACATGCTAGTCAACCTTCAGGCTCTTTTAGTTATTGTAGCTATTTAAGGGATGAATGATCAGTGACTAAAGTAAAGTGTTTCCTGTAGATATAGTGTTAAAACTGTTTTACGGCATATAGAACTGCTAGGCATTCTTTTTCAGTGACACTATAGTTCTTCTCCTGTTTTTTGAGGATTCATGAAGAATAGGCCACAGGTCAGTCCACACCTTCATTGTCAAGCTGGGCTAAGATGGCACCTACAGCTACTCTACTGGCGTCAGTGTATAAGATGAACTCCTTATCATAATTGGGATAGACTAGGATGGGAGCCTCTTTGAGCCTGGCCTTCAAAGCCTCAAAGGATTGCTATTGACTGTCAGTCCATTTGAAGGGTAAATTTCAGAGGGGTTGAATGAGGGGTTCACTTAGTTAAGCAAAGTAAGGGATGAATTGTCAATAATATCCCATCATGCCAAGAAATACTTGGACCTCAGAGATTTTTGGGGGCAGCATCTTGTCAATGGCTTCCACCTCATTATTTATGGGGCAGATCCCAGTTTGGGTGACCTCATGGCCTAAGAATTTGAGCTGCTCCTTAAAGAAGGAACACTTGGAGGGTTTGAGCTTTAGACCTGTTTCTTGAATCTTGATAAAGACAGCTTTGAGGTGGTCTAAATGATCAGTAAAGGTAGAGCTGAACACAGTGATATTATCAAGGTATACAGGGACACAGGAAATCTTTAGATCTTGTAAAATAGAGTCCATGGCTTGTTGAAACGTAGCCAGGGCATTACAGAGTCCTTGGGGTGTTTGAGTGGGATTGTAAAGACCTTTTGATGTAATGAGAGAAGCTGTTTTGCGGTCTTCTGGGGATAAATCAACTTAAAAGTAACCTGATGCCATATCCATAGCAGAGAAGAACTTTGAGCCTTCCAATTGTCTAAGGGCGTCATAAATCCTAGGCAAAGGGTATGAGTCTTTCTTTGTGAGAGATTTTAGGCAGCAATAATCCATCACAATGCAGTGACCTCCATCCTTCTTCTTCAATATGAGCAAAGGGGAGGCCCATGGACTTTGGGAAGGAGCAAGTAGCCCAGCATCTAATAAATTTTTGAGCTCCTTAGATACCTGAGCGGCCTCTACTCAACTGCGGCAATAAGGCTTTGCACAAAAAGGCAGCATATCATCTTTATCAATCTGGTAAATGACCCCTTTGGCTAGGTCATAGTCTGTAGATCTGGAGGCAAAAATATTTCTGAATTGATTGAGAAGGTCTAGTATCTTTTTTGTTGAACAAGGATAGCTACAGGAAATCAGTAGCTGTGAATAGGGAGAGAATTTGGTGTTTTTTCTGGTAGATTAAAGTCACTGAAGGTTCAAAGGGGTAGAGGGACGCCACTTTCTCTGATCCTAAATATGTGTCCATACCCCACAACTTGTACCCTAGAAAACTGCATGAGTAAAGTGGTCAGGTTAGCTAGCAGCAGTTGTACAGGCTCTTTATGAATTTGATCCAAAATTCCAGGGCATAACCAAGGCTTCTTATGGCTTAGAGACTCAGGAGAGTACAGCTCTAGGAATGATTTCTTGGGTAGCTCATAAGATATCTGGGAGTCAATGATCACTTGGGAGTCTGGGGGGATGATGACTGCCAAAGGAGCAAGCAGAGGAACACCTTCCTCTACAGGGTAGGAAGGAGGAGGGGAACACATGTTGGACAAGTGAGTTCTGTACTTGAGCAAAAAAATACTTGTGGGGTATTTGAGCACACAAGTTTTTAGGGGTTTGCCAGGGAGACGCAGCGGTTCCTCAAAGATTAAGGGAACTTTGTATCCTAGGAGTGATAGATACCCATCTCAAAGATTTAAAATCTCATTGTATTCTTGGAGGAACTGTGTACCAACCAGAAGGTCATAGCTTTTGTTCTCTAGGACAACATCAGGGGAAGCAATACGAAGTTTTCAAACCTCATGGGCAGGGCAGAGTAGGCACCAATAGCTTGTATCTGAGCCATGTCAACAGTACCATATGATTGAGTGTAATTGAGATCAGGAGTCAGCTTAAGTTTATTCATTAATTTGAAGGATACAACAGTGACTGGAGAACCTGTGTCTAGAGTTTCATTGATTTTAACCTTTTAGATTGACACTTATACATAGGTAGTATTTTCCCAAAGGGGGGGTAAGTCAGCCAGAACATCTTGTGCTGCTTCCATCTCTTTCTCTTATTTTGCTAACATGCATCTTAAGGCAGGAATTTCCTTATACACAGTCTACAACAGGAGAGATAAGGTCATATTCTGGAAGAGAGCTTCTGCTAGCTCAGTAGCTTCTTCAGAGGAGTCTACTAGGACATGGGGTCTATGGGCTTGCACCAGGTAAGGGTGAGCCACCATAGTCTTGGCTTTGTCCAAATGTGAGAGAGTTTCAGCTGTGTTTTTTCCAGAGCAGAGTTTGTAGGGGACTGAAGCAGTTTCCAGGACAGCAAAAATGGAGTAGCCATAACTATCTGATTCATTGTAGTCAGAGTCTGCAGTCTCAGAATTTCTTGACAGATAA